AAGCAAAGTAAACAAGTGAGACTATATGAAACTAAAAAGCTTCTGCACAGCAAAAGAAATGATCAGCATGGGACACCTGGATGGCTCAGTGGTTGAGCGTCTGCTTTTGCCTCAGGGCATGATCCTGCGGTCCTGGGATGGATCCAGTGCTGCATCGGGCTCCCCATGGGGAAGCTGCTTCTCCCTCTGCCTATGTCTCTGTGTCTCTCTCTGTGTCTCTCCTGAATAAATAAATAAAATCTCAAAAAAAAAAAAAAAAAACAACAAAATTAAAGGGCAACCTACTGAATGTTTGCAAATCGTATGTCCAGTAAGAGGTTAATATCCAAAATATGTAAAAACTCCTACAGCTCAACAGCAAAAATACAAACAATCCAATTAAAACATGGGGTAGAAGACCTCAGTGGACATTTTTCCAATATCCAAAGAAGACGTACAGATGGCCAACAGGCATATGAAAGGATGTTGAACATCACTAGTCATTAGGGAAATGCAAATCAAAGCCACTGTGAGATATCACCTCGCACCTGTTACAGTGAGTGCTACCAAAAAGACAGGAGTTAATAAGTGTTGATGAGGATGTGGGAAAGCGGGAACTCTGTGCACTGTTGGTGGAAATGTAAGTTGGTGCAACCACTGTGGAAAACGGTATGGAGATTCCTCAGAAAATTAAAAATAGAACTACCATATGATCCAACAATTTTATCTCTGGGCATTTATCTGAAGAAAATGAAATCATTAATTTGAAAAGACACCTGCAACCTTGTATTCATTGTGGCATGATTTACAATAGCCAATACATGGAAACAACCTAAGTGACCACTGATAGATGAATGAAAGAAACACAGATACAATAGAATACTACTCAGCCATATCAAAGAACATGTATGGACCTTGAGGGCATCATTATAGTAAATGAAGTAAGTCACATAGAAAAAACAAATATCATGATTTTACTTATATGTGGAATATTAAAAAAGCAAAACAAAAAGCAAAATGAAAAACCAAGTTTGCAGATACACAGAACACATTGGTGGTTGCCAGAGAAGAGGAGGGTAGGGAGTGGCCAAAATGAGTAAAATGGGTCAAAAGATACAAGCTTTCAGTTATAAAATAAGTAAATCATGGGGATATAATATACAGCATGATGACTTTTGTCAATACTATACTGAATATTTGAAAGTTGTTAAGAGAGTACATCTTAAAAGTTTTCACCAGAAAAAAAAATGTTTTTGTGTCTACATGTGGTGCATTTTAACTAGACTTGATCATTTCACAGTGTATACAAAAATCAAGTCATTGTGTTGTATACCTGAAAGTAATATAATGTTATATGTCAATTATACCTCAATTTTTTGGGGAAAAAAAGGATTAATACTTAAGATGGAAAATAAGATTATCTACCCACTTCTTTCTCATTTTTCTTTTTTTCTTGTTAACTAAAATGTGCAAGTGATACACACTTTTAGAATATCTGAAACATTATTCTAAAATTTAAGTGTAATTGTTTATAGCCTAAAATTAGAAATAAACTTTTTCATGGACTTAATTGTAGCATTTTACTCTATTAATTTCAATTATGATTGAGCATTTAACATTTATATTCGAACTCAGTAATTTATAGAAAATTTTTCCTTTTATAATTAGTACTTATCTGGAAAGTTTCCAAGGAGAATAAAATGTCAAAGAAAGAATTTTATGATACAAAAATTTACTCAAACACTTAGGGAACAGGGGAAACATATACACTTTACTCACAGTTATTCTCTCTCATAATAAGTATGGTATACAGCAGTACAATAAATAATTTTTGATATCTTTAATTATGTATTACCTAGTTTTTTATTGTGATTTTGCCATAATGAAATAGAAAAGTTATAAACCAGATCACAAAAACTGGCTCAAAAAATGAAAACTAATTACTTAATCCATAATATGTGGCCATCGAAGTTAGGAAGCCTGTGTCTTTTAAATTTAAGAGTAGTTTGAAGATTTTTGGAGTTCCCTTAACCAGTCACTATTTTCAGCGAAATTTTATGTTGTGGATCTCAAGTCTTTCAATATGTATTAGCATAAAAAAAGCATAAAAGAATTAATTTTATAAGTATTTTGTAGTGATGGAGAAACTGGATTTTGTCACTTTCTGTCCTGCATATGTTTGTTTTCATTTATTTGGTGTACGTCTACTTCAGATTTTCCTAAAAATTTACTGCACTAATCTTAACTCTTTGGAGCGTGCTACATGTAAACCATGTTCTTGGAATTGTATTTTCAGAAAAGCATGTGGGTGGTGTTGGATTCACTTGAGTAGAATTTTAATTAGATCTACTGCATTCACTTTTATTAAAAGAAAGAATACCAATTCCTTTTTTAGCATGCTGACCATGCTTTATTCTGACAGAGGGCCCCCTTTTAATTTGTTCTTGAAGTTCCATCATTTATCTTTCAGAAATAGTCATGTCACTTTTCTAACTTCAAAATGTTTGATAATTCCTCTTCTTTATACTCAAAAGATAAAATATCCTTATACCATTCAAGGCCATTTCTGATCTGTCATTAAGATCCTTTGCAACCGGGATCCCTGGGTGGCGCAGCGGTTTGGCGCCTGCCTTTGGCCCAGGGCATGATCTTGGAGACCCGGGATCGAATCCCACGTCGGGCTCCCGGTGCATGGAGCCTGCTTCTCCCTCTGCCTGTGTCTCTGCCTCTCTCTCTCTCTCTCTCTGTGACTATCATAAATAAATAAAAATTAAAAAAATATATTTTAAAAAAAAAAAAAAAAAAAAAAAAAAGATCCTTTGCAACCTAATCAATTACCCTGTTTTTCACCCTCTGCACCTCAGGTAGCTTGCACACTGTCTTGGCACACTGGATTATTCATTGTTTCCCGTGTGATTAATTTTATATCTGGTATGCTTCCTTGGAGCTCCTCCTTCTACGTGGAATATCCTCTCCGTTTCTGCCACGCTTTCCTTCCACAGCTTCTGGCAATTAAAATCTAGGCACTTTTTAAAATCCAGTTTAGAAAACATCTCTGTGATCTTTTTCTTTTCTCCTTCTCACCCTCTACTCTTCTCTCATAGGACTTAATCTGTGTGATTTACTGCTCTAATCAAACCTGATAGTACAATTAGTTGTTTGTGTCTTCTCCTCTCCCACCTAGTAGAGTTCCTCGATGGCCAGTGTTCAGTGTTATTAAATGAAACGATGTACCATAGTGCTTAAGAGCATAGTTTCTGAAAATCCTTTTGGGACCCCGTATTCCCCTTCAACTATCTTTTTATCTGTTCTGTTTTTTACTAGAAAACTCCTTGAAAATGCTGCCAGTTTCTTTCCCTTTTTCTCTTGAATTCCATCACTCCATCAAACCACCCTTTCAGGGGCACTAATGACCCAGGTTTCTAAATCCCATGGTATATTCTCAACTATCTTACTTGGCTTGCCTTCAGTATTTCACACAATTTGCCTCTCAAATGAAAGTCCTTTTTCTCTCATATTGTAAGCAAAGTCTTTCACAAAATATCTTTTTCCTTTTCTCTTCTTTTGGCTTATTTTGCTGATTTTGCTTCTTTCACAACTCTAATTGTTGGAGTGCTTTTTAAAAAAAATCTATACTTACTACCTGGGTGATCTCCTGACTTTAAATACCATCTATATGCTGATAGATCCCAAACTGTAGCCCAGTTAGTAACAATCTTATTCTTCCTGTTGCTTGGGCTAGAAATCTTGGAGACAACATTGACGTCTCTCTTTCTCACACTGCCTAGATACAGTCCTTCAACAATTTTGTAGCCTCTACCATCAGAACATATCTCAAATTCTATCACTTCTCACCATCCTCAGGGTTATTACCCTGGTCTAAACCTCTCCTCTAGATTATTGTAATAACTGCCTAATTGGTCTTACTGCTTCTATTTTCACCACCTATAGTAGATAAGATGTATATATCTATTATGTCTGTTATGCAGAAGATACATATGTGTAGGATCTGAGAATTATATAGAAACTTAGATATAATTTCTGTTTCCTGGAACCTATTCCTATTCAAACAACTATTATTTCAAAGCAGTGATGAAATAAATGGGTGGAAGAAGGATATAGGCTATAGAAATTCATAATTAGAAAGGAATGTTGCTAGTCATGGAGCCAAAAAATACATAATTTGAGCTTGTTCATATAGGATGGCTCTAGTTTGAGCTAGAGAGTGGAGAACTTTATAATCCATTTGGAAGTGATTGAATGAGCAAAGGCACCAAGAAGTAAATGTGGAGAATAGTCTGAAACAATGGATAGAGGAAACTGAATTCTGGATTATAGTGGGAAAATAGTGCTTAACTATTAAGTGAGCACTTAATTGTTTTTGATAACTTGAAATTGGTGAGGTTTTTTTCCTCTTTTTATATTTTACCTCAGTTGCAATCAAAATTGTATGATATGATAGTTTAGCATTTCATTATTTAAATTCAAAACCACCTCATGATATTTTGTTTAAACTGTGCTGAAAATCTGCAGGGCATAAATGAGATCAAGTCAGACCCAACTCAGCATATGGTGCTTTAATGGCTGGCACTGAAGGAGTTCTCTTTGCATAGCTGTTGAATTATCGCCACCATTAGCAGGTGTTGCAGTAAAATATGCACTGTAATGTTGCCAGTAAAATTAAATGTGATTTGCAGCATAATGGAAACTTTACAAAGACCTATAGATCCCTTTAAAATTAAGCTTTTTTTAATATTGTTAATTTACAAGTTCTTTCTCTTAGTATTATCTTCATAATATTGTTTTTTCTACTGCTGTATGTTGAAGGAATACTCAAAAGCAGATCTTAAACACTTCAAATATATAACTTAAAAGTGTTTACAAAAATATTACTACATTGTCAAATCTGAAGCGTGTGCCATATACACAGAAGGTATTTAAAAGTATTTCATGATTGAATTTAATGCCATCTATAATTTATATTGGAAAAATTAAAAAGTGATTCGCTTTTTTTTTTGCAGTGATCGGCACGTTGGTAAAATTTATTCCAAATCCTCTTCCTTTCTGGACTATGTCCGAAAGTCTCTTAAGAAGCTTGGATTAGATGAGTCCAAGGTCAGTGTATATTTGTTATTTTTATGGAAGAAAAAGAGAAATTCTATGGGGTAATGAATTGAGATGATACAAAATAATTTACCTTCTATTTTTCAAATGTGAAAACATGTAATATAAATTAGAAAAATACCTAATTATATTGAGACCATTATCTTTATTCCAAGTTCACCTTTCCTGTCAATGTGAGTGGTTTGCTAGCATACATCTCTAGAGAGTTTCCTCCTTTAAGTTTATTCAGGTATCATGTACCAGTTCTGAAATCAAAACAGTTAAAAAGCAAGATAATAGAACAAATGGGGATTATAAGTAAAGCAAGAGCAGTGAGACAATAAACTCCATTTAAAGACTGTATAACTTAAATTATACAAATTAAAAACTTAAATTAAAAAAGTTCTAACACTGAGAAAAAAATTATCAATTCAGAGATACTAGAATATTAAATTGAACTTGGATCACTCTGGTATTTGGGTGTTTTTTTTTTGTTTGTTGGTTTGGAGGTGGCAGGTTTTTTTTGTTTTGTTTTGTTTTGTTTTTTGGGGAGGGGGAGACAGGAGGAGAGGGATAGAGAGAATCTTAACAGGCTCCATGCCCAGAGTAGACCCCCACATGACGCTCCATCTCATAACCCTGGGATTATGACCTGAACCAAAATCAAAAGTCAGACACTTATCTGACTGAGCCACCCAGGTGCCCCACTCTGGTATTTTGAATTGATCATAAATTGAAATAAAGAATAAAATAGTTGGTTTTAGAGGAATGAAATGGATTTCTTGAAAAAGTAACACAGGTATAATTACTGTATCAAAGCTAGAGGGTATTATTTATGGTACCAGTTGTTCATTTATTCCCCAGTTGCTTTATTGTTTAAAGCTATTAGACTGTTATTAATCAGGTTTCTTCTGTATAAAATGGCTATTTCTAACTCTCATGATTTGAGATTAAATGAAGTAATGTACATAAAATACCTAGCACTTTTTTACATAGTAAGTAGAAAGAAAATAATATTAGTTCCTGTAGTTTTCATATATAGTTTTTATTGTTTTATTATAGATATTATATATTATATTATACTAATGTTATGGCTAATAATATTATATTTTATGTATGGTTTTTATTATTCTGATTTTTGTATATGTGCTACCAATAATAACATGACTGATATGACTCTTGTCAGTATTTTTTAGTCACCAAATGAAGATCCTTCTAGTCTTCATAAGTGAATGAGAATAGACAACTTTTATCCCAGTTATTTTATTTCTAGGTTTTTAAAAAAACATTTTAATTAAATCAGACTGGCTTTCCTTGCAATCAGTCTCATTTAGTGGATATCTTTATTCCATATCTCAATTTGATGTCTTGCAGTAATGTCAAGAATGTCTGGCATTATTTTACAGATAAAGAGCTAGGTATTTACTTAAACAAAAAATATATCATCCTTTGCCAAAATCTAAACAGCAGAAACCCAGAAAAACAATGTTACTTATCCTTCCTGATAGCTTTCTCTTCCCAGGTTTGTTTTTAATAGTAACTGTAGTAACTGTCCCTTATTATGTTACTATATTATTGATAGGAATTTTTTTTTTTTTTGAGAGAGAGAGCACAAGCATCTGGTACTGAGGAGAAGGCCAGATAGAGAGAGGAGAGAGAGAGAGAGAATTTGGAGCAGAGTCCACACTGAATGTGGAACCTGATGCAGGGCTTGATCTCATGACCCTGAGATTATGACCCAAGCCAAAATCAAGAGTCAGATGCTTAACCAACTGAACCACCCACCCAGCCACCCCAATAGGAATATTAATAATAGCTAATAGTTACTAAGCACTTGCTGTGTGGTAGTTATTATGCTAAGAACATCACATCTTCTCATTTACTTTTCATGAAAACTCTTATGGTAAATACTATCCTTATTCCAGTGTAATGATCTAGGAAGAGAGGTGTTGAAAAAGACAAGTCATTTTCCCAGGGTCAGAGAGAGCTACCAAGTAGAAGTGGAACATGAGCACAGATTCAGCTAACATCAAAACCTCAACTGTTAACCACCATTATACTGAGAAGTAAAATGAAATAGAAAAGAAAAACAGACTAATATAGATATGTATCACCATGTAAAATCAGTCTTAAATTATTCCTTGTATTAGTTAATAAAGGCAATAATAGTGTCCTACTGATTTTCTCATAATAATATTTAAGCTCATTAAGAACAAGTATGTCAGACAAAATGAATAAGAAGACAAAAAGGAACAGAAACCCAAACTGGAAGACTTTTGGGGTGAAACGTACAGAACAACATAACATAAATATTTAAAAGGATGTACTGATGAAAGGAAGGAAATAGATGTGTACCTGTTTTGGGAGTATGGGGTTTATTTTGATTTTAAACAAGAGGAATTGAAGAATTTTTTTCTGTCAGATCAGAGTGGTTAGAGCATAAACCAACGTTATGTTTTCAATCCAATACAAATTCCTATTATTTTTCTCCCACATCATGAAATATCACTGCTCAAATTAAAGTTTTAACAAGCTCAATAAAAGGAGATTTGTGTATGGTTTCACTTAATTTCATTTTATTTTATTTTTTAAAGATTTTATTTATTTATGAGAGACAGAGAGGCAGCGACATAGGCAGAGGGGGGAAGCAGGCTCCCTGTGGGAACTCTGATGTGGGACTCGATCCCAGGACCCTGGGATCAATCGCTGAGCCACCTAGGCACCTCTGTATGGTTTCATTTTAAAAATGGAATTGATTTTCACATGAGATTCTAGGCACTGAAAAGTATCAAAACCATCTAAGTTTAAAATGTTAAATATTATACCATAATACTTAAAAGATCTTTGACTAAATTTGTGATCATTTATTGTTAAGCTTATATAATTGGAAGTGTGGTTAATGTGTTGATGGGTTTCTAATCTTTTAAAGCACATCTTCATATTCAAAACTATGTTAAGTAAGTAAAGTGTCTAGAAAATCTCTTAATGTGCTCTGAATGTATTTTTAGTTACAAGAAATCATGTTAAATGTATGGGAGTAAACAGAAAAATATTCCCAAACAAATTATCATTCCAAAAGGGGACCAGAGCTCCATGTACTAGATATATAAGTGGCTTATACACAGCTTAAAAGCTTAGTCCATAATTCCTATTGTCAGTTGTAAAAGACAGCATTGGACATTTTCTCTTAGAGCAGGATTTGGCAGCACTATTGACATTTGGGTAAGTCTTTGTTGTCGGGGGCTGCCCTGTTCATTGAAGGATGTTTAGCAACATCCCTGATCTCTATCCTCTAAATGTCAGCAGTAACACCCTAGTAGTATAAAAAAAAATTATTAATTAAAAAAGAAGTCTCCAGACATTGCCAAAAATTCCCTGCGGTGCAGTGTCCCCACTCTCCACCCCCAGTGAGGTCACTGTCTTCAAACATTTGTCATCTTAGTGATTCAATTTGCAATCATCTAACATTTCCATTATAAACTCCATATATTTTTTTAAATGCCACTTTATATATTACACCAAGAAACATGGAGAAAGGAAGTGGGGAAGAAGCAATTATTCCGTTCTTCTGTTTTGAAGACTTTTTTTCAAAACAATCCCCTCCTTAATCTTTCGTTTTTGCGTAGCTCTAACTACTTATAGACAATATTGTTTCAGTCCAGTATAAAATATGTCTATTTAAGCAGTGTTTAGATTCTGAAACAATAAATTGTGACAGTACATCAACCACCTTGTATCAGGAGCTATCATGTTTGTAATGAATGAATTTCTTAGAATGAAACATTTCAGTAAAATTCTTGTAATGTTCAGCTACTTTTTTGTAAAACATTTAATAGCACCTGAAAAATATCTAAAATATTAACATCCTAATGATTAGCTTTACCTAAATGTTAAAAAAAAAAAAGAAAGATTAGGTATTTTCAAACTATATCTTCTGTCCCAAACCTGGATATCTCACCAATTTCAGAAAACTTCAAAATTGTCTTTAAGTTTTCAGGATTTCTTCATGGTCCATAGCCTTCTTTTGTCAGTTGATAATTACTTTTCTGCTTTTCTGTCTCTTCCTCCTAGCTTATAATGCATGCACACAAATGCACAATTGCAAACATGCTCATATCCTTCGGATTTTAAAAGCATCAGACCTGGTCTTATTTGCTAGACAAAGAATGAGCTGGAGTATTTGTTTTTAAGAAGAGGGAAAGAAAAGCTTATTTTCTAGAACTTGTGTGTTATACACATAGAATGAATACTCAAATAATTGAAGTTAATTTCAGATGTTAAGTAAAATAAGACCATAAAACTGGTGATTTGTTGGGGATGCTGTAGTGTTGAATAGAGTTGAAAACTACTAAGCTAAAACCTTAATGGAAGTAAGGGATAATATATTTATTTATTTTTTTAATGGATCAGTTTTTTAATAAAGTTCTTTGTAAGAAATTTAGAACATCAATTTGTGAGGATAAACTCCATTTTGTGAGAGAAAACCGAGTGGAGATCACCCTGAAGCTGAGGAACAGCTTTGATTTTTGGCAGAATTGGCGAGTCTACAGCTTTCTGATAACCTTGCACTGCTGTGTGGTCTCATGTTTCTCCTTCTCGTTGTCTTCCTCGTGTCTGGGTTTACACAGCTTCTTCTTGAAGTAAGCATCAGTGAGATCTTTTGGGATTTTCATCCTGCTGATCTCAATTTTGGTGGAGGTGGCAGTGACAAATTTCTGTGTGTTCTACACAGAGGAACTCAGTTAAGACCAGAGATCTCGTCACAAGTAGCAAGCCACTGCTCAGTGGCTACAGGAAAACCACCCTCTTGCGTCTGTGTTGCCCAGTGAGGATGATCAAAATGGTCCCAGGAGTGATGCTAGCTCACAGTTTTCTCAATGCTTCCTGAAAGGTTTTTTGCTATGGCTCAATAGTTTTCACGGCACATCTTCAGTTGGATAATACCTAGGCGTTTTGCAAAGTTTAACCACTCCGGAACCACCATTCTTATTACCACCAACTGGTTTTGTGAC